CCAAACTTCTCACTAGATTCCTTTTTTCTTAAAGGTTCCGCAGCCATTAACACAAAGCTCTTTAGAAGACACACATGAACCTGACACAGGCTTTGGCTTCATTTTTGTGCTTAAATTTCCTATACTAAACACAGGCTGGGAATGGCAGGAGCAAGTCTCCTAGGAAGGCATCCCTGAGTCTCTATCTTTGATGCCATTCACACTGAGTTTTTCACAGTGTGCCCTCTGTCTGAGAAATTTCCTTTTTGTTCCTGGTGTGTGTGTGTGCGTGTGTGTGTGTGCTTGTGTGTGTGTGTGTGTGTGTGTGTGTGTGTGTGTGTGTGTGTGTGTGTGTGCGCGCGCGCACTCGCGCACGTGCGTGCATCTCTCTCTCTCTCTCTCTCTCTCTCTCTCTCTCTCTCTCTCTCTCTCTCTCTTTCTCTCTCTCTCCCTGTGTGCGTGTGTGTGTGTGTGTGTGTGTGTGTGTGTGTGTGTGTGTGTGTGTGGGGTGAGCACACTCTCTCTGTGTGTGTGTGTGTGTGTGTGTGTGTGCATTGCTTGCTGTGACATATACATGGTTGTAATCCTTGGCAGGAGTCAGTTCTCTCCTTTTACCATGTAGGTCCCAGAGATTGAAATCAGGTCATCGTGTTTAGCAGCATGATCCTTTATCCGATAAGCCATCTTGCTGTCCTGTATTGTATTATTTAAGTTTCATGTGTAAAGTAACTTGCCTTTTTTTGGTATAAATCCCACTTAGTTATGTTGTAAAATCTCTTTATGTATCTTGTGCCTAGTTTTGATTAAGACTTTTTCTGTCTATCATCATGAGATACTGGTATATATTTTTCTTGTGACATATGTCTGGTTTTTTTTATCAAGATCACACAATATTAAACTTAAGACAAAACAGGAATAATATTTCTTCTTTAACTTTTTTTGGTAAGAGTTTAAGAAGAATCGATACTATTTGGTTTGTAAGAGCTGTGAAACTCACTGGTGAAGCTGTCTAGACCTGGGTATTTGTTTGTGGGTAGCTTCTAGCTGCTGATTTAATACCTTAGGGAGATATTCATGTTTTTTGTTTCTTTTTGAGTCAGTTTTTCCAATTTGCATTTATTTCCTCTACATTATCTGCTCTGTTGGCACATAGGGGAGCAAAATCCCTTCATAGTCCTTATAGTCTTTTTATTTTTACAAGGCTAGTCATTTAGTCTCCATTTCATTTGTTTTGGTAATTCTAGTGTTCCCACCTATTTTGTATAGTTATTTTAACTAAAGACAAATTGATTTTTAAAAATTTTAAATGAACCAACTTTTAGGATATTTTCCTTTTGATGCTCCATTTATTCAATTGCACCAAAACTCTGAGAGCTTCCTGCTTCCACCTTCACATTGCTACAATTCACACAGTTCCTCACACCAACCCCAAGGTGCCAATGGTCACAAACTTCCTGTTTTTCTTACATTTTCTCCTTTCCATATGGCATGCCTTGGGACTGACAAGCCTTCCATCCACTTGCCATCTGGCCAACCCTAGTCCTCTATGAGATGTTCCTTGGGCTCCAGACAGAGTCATATGCCCAGTGGCTCCTCCTATTTTCCTGTAACTGTGTAACAGCATGTGCTGTGTGGGCCACACTGAATCCACTCTTGGGCTTTTGGGCCCCAGACTGCTTGTGGGTAAATGCCAAGTTTGCAGTGTCTACGGGGCATTGCATCGACATGAAGTAGATAAATAGTTTTTAGGTGGAACACTATTCTCTACAACTCAGGTTGGAGTCCTTACAACTGAAGCTGGAGATGGAGTTATCACCTCAGACCTTTCTCCCATTGAACTGTACGTCAAACTCCACACCCCTGAGTACCTGATTCCTGCTCCTCTTCTGGGCTCATGCTTCTGCATTGTGGGAGGAAAACAGCTCCTCACAGCCCACCCACCCTTCATTCAGCTCCTTCAGGCCCTTCTCCCTCAATCTCATGCTTGCTTTTTACTGAGAAACTTCAGAGTCCTCTATTTCCCTCTGAGTTCCACCAGACAGACAAGACCCTGGCTCAGGTCTATGAAAACACAGTGGCTTCCTGGACTCTCACAGCAGATAATTCTTTAGACATACAAGCTTAGGTAGCCATGGACACTTGTATGTTTAGTATGGCATTATGGGAACAGTGCAACAGAAGGTACCACATGTTAGACGATTCTTCAAACTCCTGTGGGGTGCACCAAGAACTCTTGGCAGCAGTAAGGTCCTGATCTAATGGCATGTTACCCTATAAATGGGTCCTTCCATTCAAGCTAGAGCCAAATTGTTATCGTACTAGCCGAGAGTGAGGACACAGCCTTCCCAGCAGTCAGAGCCTCCCACACGGGAGGCTCAAAGGGGACATTGCAAATTGGATTTCAGATGCCACTGATTTTGTTTTTCAATCTGAATTGCAGGACAATTTGTTATAATGCTGCATGCCTAGATCCATCTCAATTATCTCATGAACACCTAATAGACTTAATCAAACTCCTGAACAGACTTCCATTAATTAATGACTCAGCATCTTCCTGTTTTGTCTTTTAGCATTGATGTTTAGTCAGTTGTTTGGTAAGTTCCAGTATATTCCACAAATGACAACTTACCCGAACCAGTTGTTTGGTATATTCCAGCACATTCCACAATATTGAAAACCTAGCTTGGTCAGTGTGTAAACAAACGTGCAGGACAAAGTCAAAAGAGGATCCCTGGAAGCCTTGGAGCTGGACCTGCTGTTCTTTGGTGCAGAACCATTTCCTGCCTAGGTTACTTTCAGTTAATAACTTCTCTTGAATTCTGAAAATTATTTTAGTCAGCAATGCTTGCTATTAGTCCTTAGTTACTCAAAAACTAAGAAAGTGCAAAGTTAGCGTTCTGTTTGCCTGCACAGTATAACAGAATCCATACTGCATGTGCACATGTCCATGTCAATTTTGGATTTAAACAAGTGGGCATGGCTGAATTTTCTGTGCTTTTGTGTGTGGTGTGCCTTTCTTTCTCTAACAAGGGTTGGGAGGTATTTGGTAGTTTGTAAATGGAGAAAGTACATTTAAAAACACTTTAGTTTTGAGTATGTGATTTTGATTCTCTGTGTGTAAGTCTGTGTTGGTGTGCACATTTGATTACAAGTGCCCATGGAGTAAGGAGAGGGTGTCAGATCTCCAGGAGCTGGAGTTACAGGCAGTTGTGAGCTGCAAGACATAGGTGCTGAGAACAGAGCTCGGGTCCTCCACAAGAGCAGAGTGTGCTTTTAACCAGCAAGCCATTTCTCTAGCCCCAAAGAAAGAACATTTACACACCTTTTATACTAGTGAGTAATGCTTGCCAAGAAGGGAAAGGTCACTGGATGAAATCTTAGTAACAGTGCATACCTTGTATTACTGTATTTATAATGCCAAATACTTATGATTTTTAAAACATAAAGCATATCCTTGTTTTAGATTCAATGACTAAACTTGTTAGCTAATGATGACTAAACTTGATTCAAACTTGTTAGCTAATGTTTAAGTCTTCCTACCCAAAATACACAGTCTATATTGTGAGTTGGGTGATACCCAAGACAAGGTGGCCAGGGCTACCAGTGGCAGCCTGTTTGCCCATGGTGACCCTCCATGCTATATGGTGTTGGGGACATAGCATCCCTGGTCCCTTGTTTTCAGTGTGGTCACTGTTCAACAATGCTAATGACACCGGTTTCTCTAAGAGGTGGAGGATTTCACGGGCTAATAGAAACCCTAAGAATACTTAACACCATACACTGAGAGCTACCCTTTTGCCTATTTATTCCTCTCAGAATTTGGAAAGAAAGTCGACCAGGTGTGTGTGTGTGTGTGTGTGTGTGTGTGTGTGTGTGTGTGTGTTATATACATATTTGTGCACACATGTGTTAGAGTGTACATGACATCTGTGTGCATACGTGTGATGGCCAGAGTTTGACATTAGGCATCTTTCTCTTTCTGTCTCATTTATTTATAAGTTTTAACTTATTCTTTGAGAACTTTATGCATGAATACAATGCATTTCCATTACAAGTCTCCCCCACCCCAAGTCCTCTGAATCTTGCCCTACTCCATGTTTCCAACTCCATGTCCTTTTTTTTTTTTTCAATCTGTTGAGTCCAATCTTTACTATGAATATACACATGAGTGTGGGACTGTCAACTGCAGCATGGCTAACTTTCTCTCTCTCTCTCTCTCTCTCTCTCTCTCTCTCTCTCTCTCGTCTTCAGTTCACATGCACGTGCCAATAATACACTCCTGTCTCTTTCTGTCTCTCTCTCCCTCCCTCCATCTCTTCCTTCCTTCCTTGTTTGACAGTATCTCACTGAACCTGGCGCTCACACACACAGCTGGGCTAGCTGGTCGGTGAGCTTCATGGATCTGCCTGTCTCCACTCCCACCCCACCCAGTGCTGGGGCTACAGACCTATGCTGCTATGCCTGACACTTGCATATTAGCTGGGGATCTGGACTCAGTTTCTCAGGCTTGTGAAGCAAGCACTTTACATACCAAGCCATCTCCCCAGCCCAGCACACCTTATTCTTAGGCCTGGCATGTTGTGTATGCAATACTACTGGTGAAACTGTGAGGACTTTTACGTTGAGGCATGTGGCATGTGTCAATGACTCATCCCTCATGGTCTGCCTTCATTCTGACTGTCTTAGGTTGACTTTATCTTCTTCCTGGGCAAAAGGCCTATGTGTTAGCAAGCATGCTCAGAGTCATGGTTACTACAGAAGAATAGACTGACTCTAGTTAGCTACGCAGTGAATTGGCTGCCTTAGGGGGGACTGAGAATTATGAATGGGATTTGGGTTTTGAAGTGTGGAAGTAGACAAATGGAATCCAGAACAGTCTTTAGATGGGGATTGCGAACACAAACTTCATTACCTGATGCTCTTTAACATAAGTCAAAATTATGCTTTGGGGATTTGCAAATGAGTTCTCTCAATGTCTGCTTCTTTGCTAGGTACCTCCTGGTCAGTATTTCTAAAGCAACATGCCGGAACAGAGCAATGACTACCGAGTGGCTGTGTTTGGGGCAGGTGGTGTTGGCAAGAGCTCCCTCGTTTTAAGGTTTGTGAAGGGGACCTTCCGAGAGAGCTACATTCCAACGGTGGAAGACACCTACCGGCAGGTGATCAGCTGTGACAAGAGCATATGCACACTGCAGATCACCGACACTACTGGGAGCCACCAGTTCCCTGCCATGCAGCGGCTGTCCATCTCCAAAGGTCATGCCTTCATCTTGGTCTACTCCATCACTAGCCGGCAGTCCCTGGAGGAGCTCAAGCCCATCTACGAGCAGATCTGTGAGATCAAGGGGGATGTGGACAGCATCCCCATCATGCTGGTGGGGAACAAGTGTGACGAGAGCCCCAACCGGGAGGTGCAGAGCAGTGAGGCAGAGGCCCTGGCACGCACCTGGAAGTGTGCTTTCATGGAGACGTCGGCCAAGCTCAACCACAACGTCAAGGAACTCTTTCAGGAACTGCTCAACCTGGAGAAGCGCAGGACCGTGAGCCTCCAGATCGATGGCAAGAAGAGCAAACAGCAGAAGAGGAAGGAGAAGCTCAAGGGCAAGTGCGTGGTCATGTGAGAGGCTTTTGTGTGGAGGAGCTGCTGCCCTTAGGGCCTCTCTCGTCCCCCCCTGTGAATCCCACTGTCATCAGGGCAGCATGTCTGATGCCCATGTGTTAAACATTGCATTTGGCTGTGACGCACCCTGCAATGTCCTCAAGAGGCGTTCCACACACCCCACCAGCCCACCCCTCAGGAGTTGCAGAATCTGCGATGCTCTCAGCATTCCCGGAAACCGAGGCCAGTCCTGAGTGGGCTTTAGCCATTTGAAGACAAGGGGACTCAGAGTTGTGGACACAGGAGAAACTGAGAATGTTGTGTGATTCGTTTGTGCGACAACAGGTTAGCCCATAGCTACTGGTACCATCCCACACCAGGAAATTTATGTTGAGAAGCCACTAATATCTTTGGGGGAGGAGCAGGCAGTCACAGGAGGTGAGAAACCAGTGGGCCCCAGTGGATCCTGCGGATGCATTTTTAGTGGGATTAAAGGTAAATTACCACAGCCCCCTCCAATAATGCTCATGCTGTTCCTACAGACACACAGTGAGGGGATACCCTCATTTCCTCAAAGTCTTCTTGCAAGTACCGTGTCAGCCTGTCAAGAGTATGCAGTTCACACGCGATGCAAGGCCACTTGTGGCGTGATGCTGTCAGCAAGTCTTCAGTTTTTGAGTCAGGACATTGTGACATCATGCAAACATCGCAATAATGCCCGTGTGTGTGTGTGTGTGTGTGTGTGTGTGTGTGTGTGTGTGTTTTTATGAGGAAATAGACATGTGATTTTTTTTTCTTGCTCTCTTTGGGGTCTCGAAACGTGAACTTTCTTTCTTTTGACCTTTGAGGGTTGCCACTTCTCCCAGCCCTCAGATTTTTAAATAAAAGTGAATAAAGTAGACATTTTTAGACTCCCACCTTCCCCTCCCCTAAGATGGTTTTCTTGTCTTAAATAACTCCGTGTGTACCCAGCTGGGAAACAGCCAACCAAGAACATCTAATAACCAGAAGCACACCCATTTTTCTAACTGTCATGAGCATGCAGATGCCACACGCTGCACCTTAATGGAATACTTTCAAACAGACATCACTCACTGTGTTTTTAACAATTTATCTACTTTGGAAGTAGAGTGATAGAAAATGCATTTAATTAATAGTAAACTCTTTACTCATTCCTTTCCTTGCTAAATGTCCTTAAGCTTCTCAGTGTGGTGTGCACCCTAGAACCAGTTCTTTCCTATGACCCTGTGTACCTTGGATTCTTTAGCACAATCAGCCACTGCTTGAGGCATTAGAGGCCGCAGCAGCTGCAGAGAGGCTATTCTCTCTTTTCTGGGCACAGTGCCCTCAGCTTAACCCAATTTGCGTGCCATCCCAGAGTTCTGGGCTTTGGTTCTTGAAAATTCTTCCTGCCACAGCCAAATGAGAAGGAGCTCCTGTTTTACCTGATAGGACAAACCCATGCTGGCCTCCGGTGCTGGTTTGACCTTTCTCTTAGCCATCTTACTGTTGCCCAGGCAGCAGGCAGAGGAAACCGTAGCACTGTGAGGGCCTATACAATGGCCAATGACCATGTGCAGACCTCCCAATGCTGGCATATGTGGTCGGCCTCTTGCTCCATCTATGCCTCCAAAGCTTACTGTGTTCAAACACTTTCATTTCCTTCAGACTTCTACAATTCGGTTTCCTTGTCTGGCCTGGCCTACTTTGCTTTGTAGCTCACCCTGGTGATATGCTGAGGGTTGGGGAGGTCCCTCAAAAAACCGTGTGGATCAATGATCTTACTATTTCTGTGGACTTCTAGAAAAGAATCCTTGGGGACCTGAGTGAGCAGCTGCACTGTGAAATGAGGAAGGCCAGGAGTCAACCATGAACTCAGAGCACTTGTGACATTCCAGATCCGCTCTGAGCCCCTTCTATTGGCTCTTTATGTTCCCAAAGGCCATTCCCTATCACAGGAAGATCGAGTTGTGGAGTTTTCTGGAATGTCTTTAATTTGTTGCTCCATTTCTTTCTATTTCTGTTCTCAAAGAGAATGCATCACCTTGCCATGTAGGCATCTCCTCTACTGGCAGTGGCCACATGTCAGGGCATTTCTAGCTCTTTAAGTCAGCTTCCAGTATCTATGTATTTCAGTCTTCATCCACGAGAGAATCTTGCAGTTGTTCTGCTCACAGTCTTTGTTCCTTTCTGTTCTGCCTGTGAGTTTAGAGGATGGGAAGCGGGTAAAGCCTCCCTCCCTGGGCTTTGTTCTGACACTGCTTTCTATAGATTGAGCTGAGCACTGGGTACCAATCTCAACATCTCCCCTTGCAAACTTCCCTCTGACTCAGGAGCTGAGGGTGCAGCACTACTGGGCCAATGGCTTTCAGCTTTGCTTTGGTCCCGTCCCAAGTCATAAAGCTGGGAGTCTTGGTAGCATCCTACGTTGCACATGGGACTGGAAACTTCTGACCCAGCCCCAGCTCATTCTAAAACTTGAAATACTGCTTTGAAGATGGCACTCTGGGGTTAAGCACGGGACTCCATGAGTTCCCTAATCCCCACCGGTCCCCTCTCCACTCAGTGACAAGCCATGGGCATGCATCCAATGCATCAAGTCCAACAAAGAGCAATATCCAATTGTCCACTAGATCTAAAATTATATATATTATGTAATTTATCTTCCTGCACTTTTGAAGTATAAAGTAGTAAATTGTATATATCTATCTCTATATATCCATATGCCAGTATATGTTTCACTATTTGTAATATTTAAGAACTGCTCATTCTTTGTAGAACAAAAATGTATTAAATATTTTAAAATTGTGCTGTGATCTTCCTCCCTGTCCCAAGTTTGTAAAGTGTTGCTCCTACACAAGCCGTCTGGAAATTCCATAGCCAAGGGGGCATGTGGAACTCCTACAAGCCACATCCTGGGATTCAGTAGCCCACAAAGACCTTGTCTCAATCAAATACCTGCAGAGAGTGATCACTGGCATGTGAGTGCTGGCACATGCTTCCACATCAGGCTCTTGCTATTCTGGTTCCAGAAATATGTTATGTCTGGCAGACTTCAATGGTTGTGAAGATCCTCACACAAGGTCCTAGCTGCGGTAATGGCCCCAACCCATGGAACCAGTTACAATAAAGCTCAGTTATGACAGAAGTTTGGGTTTTCATTTGTGTGTGTGTGCGCGCGTGCGTGCGTGCGTGCGTGCGTGCGTGCGTGCGTGCGTGCGTGCGTGCGTGCGTGCGTGCGTGCGTGCGTGCGTGCGTGCGTGCGTGCGTGCGTGTGTGTGTGTGTGTGTGTGTGTGTGTGTGTAGATCAGAGGCCAACCTCAAGTGTTGGCTTCGGAACCAACTACCTTGTTTTTTGAGACAGTGTATATCACTGGAACCTGGGGATTGTCAATTGCTCTAGGCTGCTAGAGAGCCCCAAGGATCATCCTGTCTCCCCCTCCCTATTACTCAGGCCCAGCTTTTTTTTTTAAAAAAAAACAAAAACAAAAACAAAAACAAAAACAAAAAAACCAAAATCAACAAAAACCACTGAGTCCTGGGTTCAGATTCAGGGTCCCATATTTGCATAGCACCCATATTAACAAGTAAGCCATCCTCCTGCCTCAATATCTCTTTAAAACAAAACAAAATGAATGCAAGTTGATGTTTTCAAGTTTAAAATGATGAGTTCCAAGTGGGAGGGAATGATCAAGTATTTTTTTTTAATACTTGATACTTAAGATACTTTAAGATACTTAGACCATACACACTGTGACATAGAGAGCTATGAAGTCAGGTTACAGGTATATTTCTGTGTTCCACCATGCACACCAGGGTTTTTATGTGGGTGTTTGAGGATCTGAACTCCGGTCTTTGCACTTTACTGATGGAATCATCTTCCCAGCCCCCTACTTCTGACTTTTAATGGTTGATCTGGTTGGAATGGTTTGGACTAGCTGCTCTGCCAGCGGCAGCCATGGACCTTGGAGGGTGGTAGGCTCTAAGCTGTCATGGATAGAAACAGACGCCTGACTGGATGTTTGCTAGGACATTTCCCTCACTGTTCCTGTCCCTAGGTAGAAATGAAGCAGATGCCCCAGGCAAGGGCAGGGGAGAGGGAGGCGGGTAAGACATGGATGAAGCAAGAAAGGCAACCCTTCCCTTCAGACAATTAAACGAGGACCAAGCCCTTAGCTTTTATTCCTGGACTTGATTCCCGCCTCCTCTTCATTCACAGACTGTGAAATAAAACTCATTAAAAAAAAAAAAACAAAAAACAAAAAACAGGAAACTGACCAGACATGATAGTCCTGACTCTGCCACCGACTAACAATGGTTAGTTTATACTCTCTGTGCTTCTGCAGAATGGGGCTTACCAGAATCTGCAAGGTGGGTTTGAGGTTCATTTAATGACATACACAAAGCTCTTCGTACTGACTTGCCACATATGAGCCTTCAGTGGAAGCCGCTGAGGGCAACATACTATTGGAAGATTTGTAATGCAAAATTTGACCTGTGCAAATATAAAACCACAGCAACATTACCATTTTAGAAGTCCATTGACAGCTTTCTGGCCAAGCTGTCTGCACACCACTCCCTTAAATTCCTGTCTGCTTTGCAACCCCAACTCATAATTATTGCTATGTTATCCTGCTGCTATTCCTATCTATTGAGATAACCAGAGTGAGCAAGTCCCCTTGGTCCCCCATAGTGAAAGGATATGCTGGTTGCTACTTACAAGACTTCCCTGAGCAGATGATGTGCCACAAAGGTCTTGAGACTCAGAAATATCCCATTGTAGCACCAAGAGATGTCCTTGTAGCCTTAATTAGTAGAACACACACACACACACACACACACACACACACACACACACACTCAACAGCATGGAGCTCTGTGTCCCCAGGTGATGACATGGATAATGAGAATCTATTTTCATACTAGTCATCTCCAGGCACCATTGGTAACTTAATCAGAGAAAACTTAAATTGGGTTCACAAACCAAGAATATATATATAATGTTTCAATGGAAAAGTTTTA